AAATTCGCAACCCCGATGTAAAAATGTAAAAGAAAGAAACTGCGATGTCTTTCAAATATGGAGAACGACTTATTCATTAAAGTAATGGTGCTCTGAAACATTTATATTGCAAATTTGTCATTTTTCTTATACCATATTTTTGAAAATCGGTAAAGATGGATACCAAAAATAAGTGATTTTCGCGAAAATAATATTTATTTATGAAATAGTGCATTTATCTGTTTAAATAATTATGTTCATTATAGATTTATGCATTTTTTGAATGATTTTACATCAAATGAAAATTTCAAAACCAAAAAAAGTTAAAAAGTGAAGTTGGAGCCGAAAATACCATCCTACGCAAATAGCTGAAATCGCTGCGTATAGCGAAAATAAGAATGGGTCTACGAAAATAAGATTTATTGATGATGAATTAAAAAGTATTTTTGTTGTTAATAAATGATTATTGTTAATGAATTAAATAATAAAGAATGTTTTGTTACGAAATATAAGACGTTTATTTCGGTATATTGGATCTTATTTACGTAGAAATAGTATTTTCATTATTATATTTGGATATTAACCATATTTGCCGCACAAACTTCTTACATTTTATTACAAAACATTTCATTCTTTATTAGATCTATTTCATTCATACGGGGAAGTCAAAGACCGGGCCCGCGAAGCGGGTCCGGGCTTTGGCTTGCCCGGCTATAGACTACACGTGTATATTTAAAAGAAAATAAAAAAACAATTAAAAATATATATAGAATTCTATACCTATCAGGGCTCCAGATAATTTTTTAGGGCAATGAGTATTTACTCATTGATATTTTTGTGAATGAGTAAAACTTGAAATCTGAAATTTGACAGGAGTATTTTTACCTACTTAAAATGTATGTAAAAGATTTATTATGCTTCCATGTTTATTGTATTATTATACGTGTAATACAAGATATGTCAAAGTCATTTCTTTTGCTTTTTGGACTCTCTTGGTTTATAATCTTGCATTTCCAAACAGCATACGTTTTATCTGAACCTGAGGCATGTTTCTGTTGCTCATACGTGGCAGCGCTATTATTTCATTAATTATAACCGTCACAATTACTTTTGGGTCGATTTTTTTTTCGGCTGAAAATACGAGTCAATCGTTTTAACTTTTGACAGCGACATTGTACCGGTTAATTCCACCACCTTACTATACATACGCTAACAACCGATGATAGTCGGAACTACAGGAAGTTACCGTTAGACGTTGCAAAGCATTCATACGAAGTTAATTCCACCACCATACTATGCATACGATAACAACCGATGATGGTCGGAAATACAGGAAGTTGCCGGTAGACTCTTGCAAAGCGTTCAGACGAAATTGAAAATAAAATAATCACCGAGTTTACTTTTGGTTACGTTTACGCGAAAGAAATGTTGCTCAATGCGTAACCTGAATTTTGTGTGCGTTTTCATACGCTTAAATTTTGTTTTGAATGCGTAAACGGGTTATTTCCATGCGTAATTTACGCGTATACGCATCTTATCTGGAGCCCTGCCTATCAATGAAATTTTCAGTGTCAGTTCTAGTCGGGCGCAGCCATTTACAATGAAACTCAATGATAATAGGCGGGGTATTCCGATAACAGAACAAATCTCAACTTTTCGGATCAAAAATAATCAACGAGTGTTCCGAGTGAAAACGGAAGCGGTGCATATAATACCGAAATATTATGACACCCGACACCTTTAAAACGGAAAGAATGAAAAGATTTTTTTAACGACAACCCTGTTTATAGGCTTTGCCTAATTTCATATTACAAAACATTTAATAACATCAAAAATAAGTTAAATAAAAAATAAATTTTATTTTCGTAGCCAAGATCTTATTTTCGCGAAAATCCGTTTGTAAATATCCCGGTGTAACCCAAATTCGGCGATATAAGAACAAATGTCAATGGCATTTTCAATAAACTACAGTAATCTATAATTATACTTGATATAATTTTACTACAACTATTTAAAAGTTACTTCAAGTTAATTTCAAACAATGTTATCGTTCAGCGGTTGCCAAATATAAACAAATATGGCGGATGTAAAATCTTACCTCGATCTGAACACGTCACCTAAATTCGGCGATTTGATTGGTTGCAGTAAATCATCACAAATATCAATAAGTATGGTGTCTTAAAAGTGTCATTATAATGTAAATGTAACTTGAATTCCAAAACTGACAAGAAAGTATTTAACTGGAACATTTTAAACTGTTTAAACTGATAACATATTTACAAATTGTTTTTTTTTTGCTTTAATTTATGACTGGCTACAGGTTGGACAGAGAAAACTGTCACCTCTGCGCAACACTTTCACTGGGGAGAAGAATTTGAGGTGAACCCATAGGTCACATTTGTCACATTGACCCCACTGAACAATTCTAATTTCATCACAAATCTGTTTGTCTGGGAAAAATTTTCCACAAACACTGCATTTTTCTTCTTCTGTTTCAGAATCTTCATCAGAGACATCTTCAGAAAGTTCAAGTCTAGGTTGCTTTGATTTAACTTTTGGTTGTTTGCCTTTTGAACTGTTTAATTTTGACTGTCCTTTGTTTTGTTTTTCAGGTATGTTTTGAGTTTCAGGTACCTTAACTTTTAGAGGTGGGATGAATTTTCGTTTTTTGGAGCTTGTCTGCTTTTCAATGTGATCTTTTATTTTTTCAGTAACATCTTCATTTGTTATAGCTTTGCCACCAACAACTTTGCTTAATGTGTTTCTTATTTTAGCTGTTTGAACATTTTTCAAAACTTCACCACCTCTGCATCCAAGGAATTTTCCAGAAGAACCAGAATTCTCTTTACTAGAGGCTTTTTCTGGTGGAGAAGACATGCATTGCTTTTCAACAGTTCTGGCAGGGAAACATAAAGATGGTGCAATAAAAGAATCATTCACTACATCTTGATTAAAAGGGTATATACCACTCTTCTTGAAAGCTGCCTGGATATTTGCTGGTGTCAGTGTGCTTGAGTATACCTTGCATGCAAGTTTACAAATATCATACCTACTTATGACTCTTCCACAAGATTCCCTCATGTAGTTGTGGCATGTTGAGTTCCACGAAACTTCAAAGGGTCCGAAGCAACTGATATCTAAAGGCTGTAGCAAATGACTACAGTGTGGTGGTAAAACAAATAGGATTATATGATTTTCTTTTGCCCAACCAATAAGTGTTAATGAGATATGACTCTTATGGCCATCATATAGAACAAGAACTGGGTCTGTTGCACTGTGTTCTGGTAAGTATTTTACAAGATGTTCTTTCATGTACTGGGTGAATATATCAGTGTTGGACCATCCTGATTCTGAAACAACTCCAGTTGCCCCTGCAGAAGCCCCTTCCAGTAATTCAGGTAGCATTCTCTTGCCTGGAAATATGAAAAATGGTGGCACTTGATTCCCCATAGCATTTACCCCACCTATAACAGTTACAGTTTGTGATTTACCAGAAGTTACAGCTTGAGCTTTATATACTGCACCAGTTACAATTTTAGGGGGTTTGTGGTTAGTTGATCAGGGATCATTCTAGGGGGCGATTTCCGCGATTTCTCGCAAAAATATCACCAAAATCTCAGAGAAATTTGTGAAATGAGAGAAAATCTCGCACGGCAATTTGAGCCGGAAAATGTCTAAACACAATCTAAGGAATGCTAAAATTACACAAAAATATGATGAAAAATTCACGATTCCCATCAAGAATTTAATTTCAAATTGTTAATTAATGAAATCGGTGTAAAAAAACTCCAAAAAGTAGTCCAACACTTTGAATTATTTAGCCTAAAATAATTGCCGATCGGAGACCGCAAATTCACCGTACAGAAATACGGTATGATGGCTAACCTTTATCTATCTGTAAGTCGAGAATTTACACAAAACACTTTTAATTGATTTTAATAAAAAAAATTTAGACACAGACTAACATAAAAATGGACATGTCAAAAATAAATCTACCGGTAAAAATTGTCTTCTAAATGTCACATCAACCACGGTAAATTTTGCCGTAAAGAACAAATTTAAAAATTTTGTTTTACGATTCCTGATGAAATAGCCGATAATAAATGTTCTTTTATTGAACAAAAAATATTTAATTTTATATAATTGCAATCAGCAACAGCTAGAATTGTGAATGTTTCAGCGGAAGACAGACAAATATTCATTTGTCACATATTTTCGCGATGTCGTGATTAAAAAAAATACTAAAAGGAAGCCGAGTGTTATTTAAAGGTGTTTTATAACACTAAAAATTATGTTTATGAATAAAAATTACTTTTGTTATTGTTTATATTTGTGGATATGGAGATATTTGTCATTATGTGTTCAGGTATATTTTTTAATGGAGGGAGGTGTGTGAAGAGAAACATAAAGAAAACAAAATGAAAGGTTATAAAGATATTCTTCAAATCTCAACAATCACTTCTGTACAGTACAGTGTTGTCCATTAGGAACATTGACTGCAAATAATAGTTGTAGTAGATATCCATGTATAATTCTTTTATATTTCAGAATAAAGGTGTTGTATTTATTTTTCACAATTAGAATTTTATTATGTTTAAAAAAATCACAAAAGAAAAGGCATAGGATGTGTTAAAAAAGTGAAAACAAAAATCACTGTAATAAACAGAGCTACATCTTCTTATATCCTCATTAGATAAACAATGTTTATATGTACAGTGATTTTTAAAAAGTTAGAAATTTCCATATTTTTAACCTCGCCCATCATGAAAATTATTTTTAATCTCTCAAGAAAATCTAATTTCTCTCATCAAAATTTCTCAAATGAGAGAAAATCTCTCACTAAAAATCCTGACCAGGATGATCCCTGGTTGATAGTCCCTTTTCATCCACATTATATATGGCCTCGGGTCTTTTAAGAAGATTATTATCAACTATGATTTTATTCAGCTCTTTGAAGTAATTTGTGATAGCTTGTCTTGTAGCACTTCTGGCTCTAGCTGCTTCAAGACTTCTTGGCTTTTTGACAGACAGTTCAGGAAATCTATTCAAAAATTTGTAAAGCCAACGCAAACTTAGTGGGTGTTCTCTGTCTCTGAGTCCCAAATGGACAGCATAATCAGATGCCAGATTTATAGTCTCTGTTCGGGAATATCCATACCCAATTTCAGCCATTGAATTAAGATGATTAGCAAGTAAAGATTCTTGCTCTTTTGAAAACAGCTGGGTTCGACCAGACTTTGCATTATGGACAGGAACATTACCATATACTCTGTCCTTCAAAGTTGATACAGGAATACCATAAGACTTGGCTGCTCTTTGAATAGATACTTTGTTTAATTTTACTTCATTAAAAGCATTCTCAATGGATGTCTGGTCATAGCCCGTTCGATATGGACCTCTTTTTGAATCATGTTTCTGAAATAAAAAAATTTTTTTTAATATGATGTCTCTTTTACGCTTCCGTACTTTTTAATTTTGGCAGGAGTGTGACGTAGTATGTTGACCTAAATCGGCAGTAAAAATAGTAAGGTAACAGACGACGACTGTCAAATTATTTTAAGCAACAATATCAATCAAATAAAGGAAGGTATAGATAAAGTTGAAATTGCATCAGGTAAAACACACATTTTTCTCTATGTCATATACAATTTTTAATGTTTACCTGCCGTATCTCCATCTTTAGCGCAGAAAAATCACTCGAGTTGTAAAAATTGACCGTGGGAAATAAACATGATTGACCTTCACCTCTGAAATCTCGCGTGAATGACGAAAAACAAAACATCGCCGAATTTAGGAGAACGCCGAAAGTGGGTGACGGTAGGATACATCTGTGATAATTTGCACACTTTCCGTTTTCCTTTCAGCTTTGCTTCAGGATACACACATCAAACTTGTGTGTCACTGTGTAACGGTACTCTATGAAAGAATGCAGAAAATATAATGCACGTCTCCGGTAACGGGTGAAGAAATGTATACAAGTCTGGCACTGACTAGCCCAAAATGCCGCACTTTGAACAAAGAATTCCGCCATATTTTTAATTCCAGAGCCCAGGTCATATGTAAATAATGTCGCTGCTTCAACAATACATGTCATTCACGCAAAAATGGGTTGCAAAATCGAAAATCATAATATTTGCTACAAAGTTACAGCAGTCTTAACCTTACCTTTTAGCAATTTTGAATAGAATTTAGCAAAAAATGTTCGAATCTTTGATGTCAAAAAGCAAGGCCAAAAAAGCGTCGGAAAAGGCACGCTAAGTTTCGGGGTTTTCAAATTTGAGCGCACGGAACTTTAATTACGAAAGCAAAATGAAGTATTTTTTCATTATCTCTAAATAACATGGTATTGTATTTTAACATAAAATATTATTTGTAATAAAATATTTTCTCCAATAATTATGTATGATTTGATAATATAGTAACAAGGAAAAATACTGAAAATTAGAGATTTCGGGGGGGGGGGGGGGGGGGGGGGGGGGAATCCCGGGATCCGGGATGCCCGGGATCCGGGATCGTATTAGATATAGAGGGAAAACTAATAAACTATATTTGTGTTGATTATTGTCGTAATGAAAGGCCATTAAACGTTAAGATTTTATTGTTGATTGTATGTAATGAACGTTAAATTAATTTAACTTAGGATATAAATATATTTACTAGCTATTTATCAACAAATTTTAATTTAAATGCGGAAATCACAATACTTATAATTATATGCCTAATTAATTGGAAAAATCAAAGATATATTCTTGAATTGGTCAAATCCCGGGATCACTATATGCTTTAATACGATCCCAGCTTTACTGAAAACTATATTCTTGAACTGGCCAATTCCTGAGATCTCTATATATTTTTAATACGATTCCGGCTTTTCTGAAAACTATATTCATGAAGTGGTCAATTCCCGGGATCCCTATATGTTTAAAAACGATCCCGGCTTTTCTGGAACTGGCCAATTTCCGGGATCCCTATATGTTTTAATACGATCCCGGCTTTTCTGAAAACTATATTCTTGAACTGGTCAATTCCCGGGATCCCTATATGTTTTAATACGATCCCGGCTTTTCTGAAAACTATATTTTTGAACTGGTCAATTCCTGGGATCCCTATATTTTTTAATACGATCCCGGCTTTTCTGGCGGAATTGATTGACAACTTGTGTTTACTTTTTCTTATTCACTCTTGATGCCCAATATACAACGACTTCCATTGCTATTACATGTACTTTCAATATTAAATAAGATTTTGTGTGTGTGACATTCTGAGGTCAAGTAATTAAAGCTTTTGTCTGTGAAAAAAATACGTTATTTTCAAAGATTTTTTATAACTACTACAAATCAAACTTATTTAGAAATCTCTACAAAAACATTCAAATAATAATAATAATAATAATAATAATAATAATAATAATAATAATAATAATAAAAATAATAATAATGATAATAATAATTTCCGGGATCCCTATATGTTTTAATACGACCCCGGCTTTTCTGAAAACTATATTCTTGAACTGGTCAATTCCTTGGATCCTTTTATTTTTTAATACGACCCCGGCTTTTCTGGCGGAATTGATTGACAACTTGTGTTTACTTTTTCTTATTCACTCTTGATGCCCAATATACAACGACTTCCATTGCCATTACATGTACTTTCAATATTAAATAAGATTTTGTGTGTGTGACATTCTGAGGTCAATTAATTAACGCTTTTGTCTGAGATAAAAATACGTTATTTTCAAAGATTTTTTTTATAACTACTACATATCAAACTTATTTAGAAATCTCTACAAAAACATTCAAATGATGATGATAATAATAATAATAATAATAAAAATAATAATAATAATAATAAAAAAATAATAATAATATAATAATTATAACAATAATAATAAAAATACATCGAGAGTAGGTGGTCAATTCCCGGGATTACTATATGTTTAATACGATCCCGGGTCCCGGCTTTTCTATAGGCGATTCCGGGATTTTCACCCCACCGATTTCTAGATATATTTTACATTAGATACAATATAAACCGAAATTGAAGTTGACATGAATTACAAAATTAACTGATTTTCGCGAAATGAATGTATTGCTATAAAGGCATGAATTATACCTACATGCCCGAGAGGCATTGAACAGAATTGGTTCCAAAACAGATATACTGTAAAAAACTTTGCAGACAAAAAAAAGCCGGGAAAAGGGTATCTCTCGATTCAGCGATAATCACAACCAATTTACACTCTTTTTGCCCAGGAATAAAGAAAAAGTGCAACATCCCTCACGCGGTCACTAGCATCGACTTTAAAGTGCCGATATTAATGATCCAAAAGGACCAGAAAAATGTAAATACGGGGCAACTTTTTACAACTGCCGCACGGCACTGGACACCTGCAGTTGTGAAGTCTGTACACGAGGGTCCATCGAAGGATACTGAAAAAAGTGCACAAAATAGCGGCTTGAGTGGAACTATAAATTTTCAACACTCAACAATTTGCCTGAATCAATAATTCCGAAGAAGCTGAAAAATTTAACATCAACTTTAATCTTCAGCAAAACTGAAGCGGAGAAGACAGTGGCAAAATGGAACAGGGCTCACGCTGTCGGTCGCCATAGTCGCCATATCGGGAATATCGTGGCGCGAAAGCTCATTTGGTTAGACCACTGACTCACTGACTGTCGATAACTCCTGAGGTCCCGGGTTCGATCCTGGGTAACACCCTAGCTTAGGATCTTTCAGAGACCCTTTCAATGTTTTCCACCTACCTAGAGGTGTACTGGTAAGAAATCCAGGTAATCCTCGCATGTATCAGTGCTATACACTGGGCATGTAAATGAACTTTCGAAAGGAACTGAAACTTCTGTACATACCAGAGCAGAGGTACAGTGCGAATGACCGTAGAAAAGATTTCATGATCAGTCGCAACGAAAGTGTCCTGCGCCGTCCGGAAACCGAACCAGGGTCGCCCGGTCACAGTCCAATGCTCAACTTATTGAGCTAACCGGACAGCTTATAAAATGGGTCCGTTCTTATTTGGTGCAATTAGAATATCCTCGGCCATTGTCCTCATCCGAAGACTGACAGAAAGGGCCGAAATGTTGCGAATGATTTTGGTGTCCAGACGGCACCAATTGGACGCTATTAAGATGGCACGATGAATAGTTAAAACCGTACAACTCATGATCGTTTAAGGACATAACAACCATTCTGGTATTTCTTTGGAAATAAGCAACGACTTGAACCCGCGACATCAAATATACTAAAGTGGGCTGGCTATCTGTCACTATCTTTTGCATAGGAACAGTAGGATGTCTTTTTAAAACATTGCAGTCTGATTATTATAAAAGACTTATAAAACATATAACACAGAACGTGAAAACTCTTGTCAAGTTGGCATCTTAAATATGTTAAAGAAAAAAAAATCGCGACCAATAATGATATTGAAATTTATTTTAAGGCTTAAAATCGTTAATACTTGTCCATAAAAGATTTACATGGAAGGTTTATAAATGTTTGTATTTTTGTATAGGAGATTATTGATACATTATTTTGCTACAAAAATTATATGAATGTTCAATTTAACAATATAATTTTTCCTAGCTGTAAAAGCACTAATTTCCCAAAACGCCTGTGATATTTTTTCCTACCAAATATTCACCATACGTCCACTCTTTAGCTAAGAAATGCTCACCCGTTATTAATTTCAGCAAAAACGATCGGGAACCCAGCTTAAGTTAATTGAGTTCCCATCTTTTTGTAAAATTAACGGTATGACAGTTAATCTGATAAAAATGTATATGATGATTTTGGGTAATACCTGTTTTATTTTTAGATACGCATCGGGAACCCGAAAGGACTATATTTACTATATACTTACACCTTAAATCCTATGTGTGTGTGTGTGTATATATGTATTTAAGTATTTAAAGCCGAACTGTAATAAGGATTTAGCTTCAAGAAGAGACAGTTGGGATAAATCTACAGAAATGTTTATTAAACTAGTTGCTTTAATGTTTTTGTTTACAGGAAGCAATTTCTTGAAAGGTAATAAAATTCATACATCATTTCTTGTATACGTTTAAGGTTTGAATGCATATAATATAAGATTATGTTTTCCTTATATATAACTTTTGCTTTCTTTACAAGAAACATATTTGAATGCATTACCTTATTATTCATCTGATAAACTATACATAATTATGTAAACATGTAAATATAATTTTAACATTATTTATCACCAGCAATTATGTTGTATTGTGGTGACAAGGGGATGCATCGCTACAACAGTACGATACAAGATTGTATAAACGGCATCGTTAAACCGAAAAGATTTCTGATTTGTGGGGTCCCTCCGATGGATGAGAAATATGATGAAAATACACATTCCTGCGTAGATAACAAGCTCGTTGTAAAGGGGACATGCGGGTAATAACACTTTGTCTTAGTACATTATTTTTGCTACTCCTTTATACAACTTTCGACAATGCAGTGTACAACTACCTTGGGAGAAGTCAACCGAACGCAATTAAATGTAGAATATCTATAGTTGTTTAGCCCTCGATAGATCGGTGGCAAGCCATCACAAGTTTTAAATTTCTTCCAAGAAGGACCGATATGTTAGATTAAGATAAAAAGAAAAAAGATATCAGAATGGTAGAACATTAATAAAAAAAACCAATGCATTAACTGCGGGTAAAGTTGATTTCAATATAAGAGGTATTTTCACATTATGATAAAACTCCTGAGTAAAATATTATCTTATCTTATTAACCTTAACATCATCTTCAAGTTGAATGTAAATTACTTCTCTATTTTATTTTTTAATTTACATCTAAATATCAATCAATATTTTTTATTGACAAACATTCCTGTGCATTGTATGCTCATATTTCACATTTGAAATATGAATTTATTTCGTACAGTATACATCATTTGCAATTAAGGTACAAATCTAAGTGCAACAGTACTTTCACGTTTGTAAGATTGATAATGCACAAACTAATATCTTAATATTAAATAAGTATGTAGGTTAGGAATTGGTAGTATGGGGCAAATTTTTTGATTGCATTAAAACTGTATGGACTTAATATAAGTTCTTCTTTTAACAAAATCACAGAACTTAATACGTTTTTAGGTAGAATAGTATCACAATTTAATCGTGCTCATTTTACGTTTGAATTAAATATCGGTATGATATAAATGTTTGTTTGAATTTTATAATTGGTCGTTCAAGTGTTGGGGATTGGGGGTCAAGGTTAAAGAAGATTAAAATATCTGTCATATTTCAATCAATAACTTTTCTTTTTGTTGCCTATTATGTTACTGCACCAACTAGTAGTTTAATAGATGACAAAGAATGGCATATGAAGTATCATTTTTATTTCAGTATTAAGAAGTTAAGCCGCCGTAAGAAATGTTGTGGGGATGTGGTTTATGACCCCCGGTATCAAACATGTTGTACGAGTAAACATGAGCACCGGATCCACGATCATAAGCAGGAGATAAAGCATGTGTAAGTACACTAGATTTAATCAATATATTATCTCGTTTATCTCAATTTGTAAATAATTTGCTCGGGGGACGTTTAACTGTACGAAATCTCAGCTGTAAGAATGAGCATGAACCAGTCCACTGCCTACAGTTTGCGCATAGCTGGAAACCAATAATTAGACACAATGTAGTTGTCATGCAATCCTACCAATATTATATACAAATGTATGTAATATTTTTCTTGTTTCAGATTCATTTTGTCATTTCATAAGATTAATATCAGATACAAAAAAAATACTCTGCGAATATAATAAATAAGATTAGTTTAACGTCATGCTTTGGGTTTACTAGTATTTAACTCGTATCCCGGTCATATGATCAGATTTGGTTCTTTAGTACATGACTAATATGTAAGGCAGGCTTTTACCAACATATAATTTAGTTATAAAAAATGTTTAAACGTTCTTGTCAATTACATCTTCTTAAACGATTGTGTTACTGTTGATTTCTTGTCGATAAAAATGGTCTTTTAACTAGATAAGTTGCTACATAAATTACAGTGCCTATACATAAGTGTTGCTTCTTACAGTCTCCCTCACATACAAGAATTACAAAATGTTTTTTTTTTTCTTTTGAAACACTAGCTGTTGTAATCTGGAAGCTTACCATAGGAGATCGGCTAAAGCTACATGCCATAGATCAGCGCACAACGACCAGTTCTTTAAACCGAAAATATTGAGGCTGAGGCGGGTGAGCCAGAAAATATGCAAGGAATTTGATCATGGTAGGTTTGGTGCGTCTGACGTGTTTGATATGACAAGGTGCTGTGAGTTAATGTGATTCTGTATGGTTCCATATGGTATTTTTATGTATTTTAGTACTAGTATTGTATTTTTTATTTGTTTTGTTTTTATTAGAACTGTCAATGTAATATGGGAAAATTCAATCCTTACTGTAAAAGAACGACCGCTGGTTCAGGAGCATGTATCTGACATGTAATATACTAGCACTTTAGAATTGAAAGACCCTGATGGGATTCGAACCGTTCGTGGCGAGGAGCAAATGATTCTAAATTAGCTTCCTTAGCTACTTGACGGCGCAAATTCTAGCTCCTTGTGGTTTCATAAAGCGCTGTCTGTTTTGTTAATGTATAGAATCTTTACTATAGAACTGGATTAATGGAAAACAAAACCTTCAAGGGTTTTACAAACTAATATCATGAACGATTGGTAGAAGTTATGATATTGTAAATTCTCAATTTCATTTATTACAGTGTATAAAGTAAAAGTGAAGAGTCAGGTATGCAAAGGGAATCGACGATTTTTGAGAGTACGGGTTTCAAGATGGGCATGGCATCCGTTAAAATCAACCGACCTGATGTCGACATCTCCAAAACAGAAGAAACACATGCATGTTAAACTAGATAAATACAGTGGGAAGAAAGACTTAACTGGAAAATTATTTCTCATATTAACAGACAGGAAACATTCAATGAAGAAAGTATTCCGTTTGCGCTTTCGTGAAAATATTTATGCTTTTCCAAACAATAAAGTATTGCAAAAGCGAATGTTGTCGAAGATTAGTAAGAAGTGCATGAAAGTGCTGAATAAAAATAAATTTGTTTTGTTAAATGGTTAGCATGAATTGATCTGCTGAGTAAAATATAGTACAGCGTTGTACTGACATCCAGGTCAGAGGTCGTGATCATTCGTGTGTTATGTCACTAGCACGACAGTAAGAAGCATTTGGAGATGACGAAAAACTTGAGTTGTAAGCCATTTGTGACTTAATTGTTCGAACTCTTATATCTAATGAAGATCAATTCGTTTTCATTCCTTGAGAAGCATTATTGTTGAACTCATTATTTGACAGGCAAATGAAAGCAAAGAACGGTTCGCAGTGAACTCTCTTTAAGACAAAGTAAAGAGTAAATACTTAAATATTTATTACATCTATGCTGTAATTAATGCACTGAACGTGGGCTGAATCGTTTACCCATATTTATCACAAAATAGTAGCGAATTGCGTTATTCTTTTAATACTTATACGAGGGGAATGTTTAAGTATATTTTTATATTCACCGTACAAACCATGTTTGACAACGCCTAAGAATTGGTATGGATGTTAGTCATCCATATTCGTACATGTGCGGTCTTAAATTATTATTTATCTGGAATTCCTTGTATTAGTAATATTGTGGAATTTGGAAATGTTGTCATATGAGTATATAGTTTTGCCAATTACTTGTTAAACTACACGACTTTATGACTCCTCAAATATGAAAGAACCAGCTAGTACACATTAAGTACGTATTGTTTTTTTTAAAGTCCGAATTTATTTCATGAGCAATCAAATTAGATTTCCAAAATATCTTTTTTAAACAATATATATGTACTGGTATTCGTTAATGCTGGTTTATATTAACAACTCTCAGGTCCGTTTCCAAGAATTTACCATTCCTGGTGTTATGTGACGAAGTATGGTCGTGACCCGAGTAGGTCTCAAACCCATGTGCTCTTAACTGAGATATATAATTACGTTATTTGAATGGAACAATGTTCGAATTTATTCAACAACAACCTTTTATTTTCCAGTCAGTTTACAAAGTAACATATTTCAGGCTATATTAATCAAACTTGTATATCGTGTTATTGTCTGTGTACAGTATGAAACAAAGTATTAGAAGTATCTCAGTATTTATAATTTTAGTTATACGATGATATGTTATTTCAAATTTTAGTTTTCAGTGTTACATTTTTATTAGATGATATCTTTACATTGAATAAAAAACAGAAACAGCAGTTGCTCGTTTTTAGTTTTTGTTTGTTTGTTTTTGGTTTAACGTCACATCGACACAGTAGAGGTCATATCGCGACGTTCCAGCTTTACTGGTGGAGGAAGACCCCAGGTGCCCTTCCGTGCATTATTTCAGGCACGAACGGGCACCTGAGTAGAAACCACCGACGTTTCCGTAAGCTAGCTGGATAGCTTCCTCACATGAAAGAATCCAAAGTCCCTGTCGGGATTTCGAACCCACAGCGGTGAGGGCAAGTGGTTTGAAGTCAACGACCTTAACCACTCGGCCACGGACGCCACTTTTTAATATATATTCTTTATTCACCAATGATTTAAATATCGTGTCATAGAAATAGATGGTAATTACCTATGTTATTGAAGAGCATGAATTTAGACAACCTATGTCAGTGAAATCCCATTTAGTAAACAATGTACAGTGAGTGATATTGAAAAAAAATAGTTGTATTGCGTAAAATAAAAGTCATTGTTATATATGAATTTCTAAAGAATGTTTTGATGCCTTAGTGGTCAACAACTCCAAACAGGTATTTAATAACAGATAAACACCGCTGAGACAGATAATATTTCTTCATTCACAGTTATATGTATAATATTTAAGTTATTAATTTGATAGTGTGCTACATTATTTTATGTATTAGAAACGCGTTTTGTATATATTAAACGATGAATTGTAAACGTTCTTGTCCTAATGATTTCAGTACCCAATTTATTTTTCAATATTTAAACCGTAAACAGAAAACAAAATATACCTCCATATCGAGCAATTTTCAAGTTTTTTTTATCTGTGCTGGGATCCAACTTAATAAAATAACAGGGGAAATGATAACTGTATAATCCTATTTATATCTGTACAAGTTACACCTCATTTAAAGTAATTTTAACTTACTATGTAAAGTCACGGGGGAGGAAGTGTTACACGAAGGATGGAGTTCTTATGATAACTTGTTTGGAGTTCTTATGATAACTGTCACGGAGTTCCTGGAAAATGTTACGGATTTCTGTGGAAAACTTTTCTATATACTTGGAGAACTCGCCTAAAAAATGGTTATTTTTAACTTTAAATGGGGAGTTTGAGGTGTGCTAAATTAAACTTTGATAATTAAGCTTGCCCTACATATTGTATTTTGTTTCAGAAAAAATCTTTTAGTCCATATTTGTCGCCTTTTTTAAAAAAATCTGCAAAGTTTTGAGAAAAAATTTACCAAATTACTTGCTAATTCGTACATATTGACCTTTTCATTTGTGATCTTCTTCGTTGCTAATACATAATTTACTAATTATTATGGAGAGCTGCAAACATAAAGCCCGGGCTAATAGATTTATTTATACCCGATTTTCAAAAATGTTACGGAGTTTTCTTGCGAAAACTCAAAATATGTCCTGGGAGTTCTTATGATAACTTTTGTTACTGCCAGTGTGTTTTTGTGCTTAATCACGGCGCGTTTAAGCGTATTTTATTAGACAATAAAGTGCTGTAAATCATTAATGAAGCATAGTACCACGCCCTTATCATTTGCACAAAAATTTGGTTATATAACGTTGGTTTTGATCGTGTTTTTCAGTTCAAGAGAATATTTTCTTACCTCCGTTTCTTGTGTTTTTGTGTTTGTTTTGTCTTTTTGTGTGTGTGTTTTTTTTTTTATATTTTTATTGGAATGACTAACCACTGTAAACATACTTGATTTAGAGCATTTACTTACAGGATTAAAAAATACGCTTTGAATCATGATTTCGTCATATATACATTTTCCTGGCCCCCAGTTTTAGAGAAACATTAAGTAACTATTTGCTTATTCGGTATGATGTAAATGGTTTTCAGTCAAAAATAGGAGGTGGTATGCACTACCTTTATCTAAAATTTTAATGAGGTGTGTTTGGATGTCGTCTTTATGTTTCAACGGGTTTCTTTCAATTTCTAAAAGGTATCACATTTTTGTCATAGAAACTTATAAAGTTCTATGACAATGATCAGCGGTGCATATCCATATCTGTACCCCTCTTTGCGAAATCTGCCTCAAACGGTACCCCTCTTTCGAACATGCACAGGTCATCTCCTGCTAAAAACCCAAACCAGCCGATGGATAACAATCCCCCAGTAAAATTTCATTGTAATAAGGAAAGGAGGTATGACACGTTAGAAAAAGATGTATACCACATGGGAACACTAGAATGTTTTTTAATTATGCTGTGCTGCTTTGTTCATGTGCACGTTTTTTCATGTTATTGCAAATTCACAATAAGCTACAAAAAATCGACATGTCTTGCCCTCGCCCATCACATTGACATATTTTTTCGGGCTGAAAATGAACCCCTATGGCTTGATTATATATGCATCACACATATTTAATATGTTCATATACATATCCATCTTCGGACAAATGGCAGTATTATTGTCAAAAATAAATGGAAAATTTTTCATAAAAAACACCCTACTTTCGGTTTTGCAGCGGCACAGGCTACCTCTCTCAAATTTGAACTTTTATATCACCAGGTACCCTCTCTCTTTTTTGAACACATAGGTACCCTCAAAGCACGACATAATGCTTTTATTTGGGTTAATCGTTAAGTATGTATGTAATATTTCTTACTTATATATAAATATTACATACTTAGCGATTAACACATAAAAGTATTTGTTCGTGCTTTGAGGGTACCTATGTGTTAAAAAATGAGAGGTACCTGTGACATGAAAATTCAAATGAAGAGAGGTAGCCCGTGCCGCTGCAAAACCGAAAGTAGGGCGTTTTTTATTGAAATTTTTCCATTTATTTTTGACAATATACTGCCATTTGTCGCGAAGATGATTATGTATATGGAACATATTAAATATGTGTGATGCCCCCATATATTAATCCCAAGCCCAAGGTTCATTTTCAGCCCCCGAAAAAATATGTCGAATTGTTGATGGGGCGAGGCCCAAGATATTGTCGATTTTTTGTAGTTTTATTGTGAATTTTTGGCAGTACATGAAAAGTGGCACATGACAAAAATTCAGCCAAAAATGAAACGATTCTAGTGTTCCGTGGTATACATCTTTTCTACGTGTTCATAAACCTCCTTTCCTTTTATTACAAATGAAAAATTTTACTGGATTTATTATCCATCGGCTGGTTTTGTTTTAGCTGAGCCATGACCTGTGCATTGTTCGAAAGGGTACCGTTTGAGCAGATTTCGCAAAAAGCAGGGTACAGATATTGGATATTTGCACCGTGATATTTTTATAGAACTTTTATAAATTTTCTAGAAACAAAAATGATTACCTTTTAGAAATAAAAATAAGGCTGTTGAAACATAAAGACCGACACCCACCTCATTAAATTTAGATAAAAGGGTAGTGCATACTAACCTCCTAATTTTGCCCCATGAAAACCATTTTACATTGCATTACCGATAGCATAGTTAACTTAATGTTCTCTAAAAACTGCCAGGAATAATGTATATTTATTGACGAAATCATTATTCAAAGCGTATTTATCCTGTTTAATTTTAAATGCCCTCTACATCAAAAGTTATGTTTTACAGTCATTCCAATAAAAATATAAAAAAACACACAACACAAAAGACCAAAACAAACACAAAAAACGCAAGAAACCCAGGTGAAGCAAAAATATCTCTTGAACTTTGAAAAACACGATCAAAACCAACGTTATATAACCCCCAAATTTTTGTGCAAATGATAAGCGTACTATGCCTTCATAATGATTTACACACTTATTGTCCTAATAAAATACGCTTAACGCGCCGTGATTAAGCACAAAAACACACTGGCAGTAAACAAAAGTTATCATAAGAACTCCAGGGACATATTTTGAGTTATCGCAAGAACTCCGTAACATTTGAAAATTCGGGTATAAATTTATTAGCCCGGGCTTTATGTTTTGTAACTCTCCATAATAAATTAGGGTAATTAAGTATAGCAACGAAGAAGATCACAAATGAAAAGGTCAATATGTACGAATTAGCAAGTAATTTTGTAATTTTTTCTTCAAAACATTGCAGATTTTTTTTTTTTTTTAAAAAAGGCGACAAAATATGGACTAAAAAGATTTTTTCTGAAACAAAAATAACAACATGTAGGGCAAGCTTAATTATCAAAGTTTTTAATTTAGCACCTCAAACTCCCCCATTTAAAGTTAAAAAAAAATAACCATTTTTAGGCGAGTTCTCCAAGTATATAGAAAAGTTTTCCACAGAAATCCGTAACATTTTCCAGGAACTCCGTGACAGTTATCATAAGAACTCCAAACAAGTTATCATAAGAACTCCATCCTTCGTGTAACACTTCCTCCCCCGTGAAAGTATCATGTATCGTTTACACCTAGGAAAATATTTCAATATACATGCAATATAAGGGGGCGTAGTTTAAAAAGATACAGTATTGGGGGGAAATTTGAATTTGTAATCGGGAAACCTGAATTATTCATACTTGTTATGTATTTATGTCTTTTTAAAGATAATGATAAAATATCCACCCCGGAATATCCACATTGAACGTCGTTTTAAATGTTTGTTTAAGCAAAAAAATTGTTGTAATAGTGTCATCTATTCAAAATTTAAGAAAGATGAATGTTGAAAAGTTTTGATTAATTGTATATGTAAAAATCTTTTTATCAATCAATAATAATTTGTGAAAAAGATATTGCTTTTTAAAAATTGTTTTGTGTTTAATGATACATGCTAATATAGTTATCAATATCAATCGTTTATTTGCGACTATATGAGCCACGAAAAATCATGTTACAAAGTCATAACGTTGCACAATGACTGCATAAATTAAGCAACATCCGTATTATACATTTATAGTCCTAAATAGACGGTGTACCCATTAATTGGTTACTTAATTGCAGTGTTATACACCTTTGTAAAGTCAGATTCAATTATTATAATCACATTTATTTTAATGAAACATTCGTGTTACGAAAATATACCGTTGCTCTTCTTTGTACAATGATGTGTCAGGTTTTATTTACAAATCATGTATAAA